GGAAAGATCCGAGATGAGAAGCAAGAAACAGTTCTACGGTTGGTGGATATGGAATCTAGCTATCTAACAGTGAATTTTTCTGGAAACTTCATCTTGAGCCAGAGAAGGCTCAAAATTCTCAGGCCCAAATGCAGACCGTTATTTTGATAATCATTTCAGAAGAATTGGTATATAATATTTTTCTTTCTTGATTACAATAAGTTTGATATTTTTCACTTTTCTACTTAAAAAAAAAAAAAACCTCGAGCTAATATACACAAGATTCAGTGATCTGCATTTGCTGATTCTAGAATTAGTTTTAATTTGTTTCTGTTCTGTTAGGTTGAGACAATGATGCTGGAGGTATAATGTCATCCATCGTTAGGCTATGTGTAGAAAAATCAAGAACTCTTTTGGAATTGATTTGGAAATTCACATTCATTGCAACTAGTTACTGATGGTATTTTATTAGCATATAATAAAAATTGACCTATTAAGAATTTTAAGTAAAAATAAATCAACAAATTCCAAATTGCATAAGTTCTAATCAAAATGGATGCACTGGTCCGTTCGACTTGAAATTCTCTATAAATTCAATCTTTAATTATTTTAAATGAGATTTTCATCGTCCTAATTAGAGTAGTTATCCACAGGACTCCTTAATTTATTCCAAACATAGCTTTAATATTTGGGGTATAACATATTTATCAGTTTGAAATTCTTTTGAGTTTTCCTCTGTTTCTGTGATGCAGTTACCAACTGACCAATGCAAGACAAAAAACAATAAAACTTTGCACTGTCCTTTTATTTCTGCAGGATCAAATGTCACTGCTTATATAAATATGGTGTGCGACACGCTCAGGAATTCTATTCCGAAGGCTGTGGTTTACTGCCAAGTAAGAGAAGCCAGGAGATCACTTCTAAACTACTTCTACAGTCAAGTTGGGAGGAGAGAGGTAATTTTTGGGTGCTTTTTTCTTCGAACCCCTCAACCCTCTTCCTGACTCTTGAGAAAATATAAAATGAGATAGATGTTCTTATAACTTGAGAGTTTTCTTATTGTCTCAATGGGGCTCATAAAATTTTGAACGCCCATCCTCATGATAATGAGGGGGAAAAATAAACAACTCAACCACAGTAAGTTGGTTTATAACTTGAGAGTTTAAGATACAAGGCTTAATTTGATTTGATTCTATTTCATCCTCACTCAATTCCAACTTTTTGATCTTTATAGTACTTTTGACATGAGTTAGAACAAAAATTTGTATGTTAAACCTCCCCTCCACCTTGACATTGAACTTTTAGAGGGTAGGAATTAAATTCATATGAATTAAAAAGGAGAATTGGACTTCTATTTTTAAAGAATTCAAAGTGGGGGCTAGAGGTAAGATCCAAAACGTAAAAATATAACGTAATGCCACAGAATCAATGTCATTTCTCAAAGTAGGTGCTGTATGGTTCAGTTTATTGTTGGTAATAATAGGAAGAGGATGGAAAAAGGTGCAGAATAAATTTGAAGCTAATAATTCCATTTCCATGGTGTGTGCAGAAGGAGAGGCTTGGTGCAATGTTGGACGAGGACCCACAGCTCATGGACAAGCGAGCAACCTTAGCTAAAAGACTTGAGTTGTACAAGCAAGCTAGAGATGACATTGATTCTGTGGCCTGGAAATAGCAATCTCTGATTCTATAACAATTATGCAGGCTTGCAAATTTTTTATGCTTAAAAAAGCTTCACAGCCTAAATCTTCTCTCAACTTTGCACATTCTTTTGTACTCAATTTTGAAAAGTATCGAGTTTACTTTGGATTACCTCTATGTTTTGTAAATTGAATTTCTTTTTTTTTTTTTTTTTTTAAATCTGCAATCTTTTCTCAATTATTTCCTGCAAAGATTAATACAAACACCTAAATACTTTTTATATTTATATTGTATTAGCCGCAAAGATTAATACATACACGTATTATATTGTATTAGCACATACATACACATTTCTTCATATCATGCAAAGTTCACACTCTTTTTGAGTTTTGAGATTTCGACCCACGGGCAGGTCTTTACCTCAGAAATGAAGATTAGGCAGGTTTGCAAAATCATAATGAAATGGGTAGTTCATAACATCTATAATCGATTCATCCGTTTCTGCGGACTTCAAATGGATGAATGGCAATTCTGCTATACCTGCCTGTAGCAAAATGTTGTCTACAAAATATCTCAGACCGTACAAAACATTATGCCTCAGACATGTA